GACAGTTGATCTGAAGCCTGGCAGTGCAGTGGTTAAGCGTTTGACTGCTAACCAAAAGGTCGGCAGTTCGAATCCACCAGCCGCTCCTTGGAAACTCTATGGGGCAGTTCTACTCTGTCCTATAGGGTCGCTATGAGTCAGAATCAGCTCGCCGGCAATGGGTTTTTAATGACAGTTGAGCACCTTTTCATGTGCCTATTGGCCATTTGTACCATATTTTTATGCAAATAATGCGTGTGTTCCATGTATGTTTGCCAACCATGAAAGGAGGGTTTCCGACAGCAACATGTAAAAAAAATTAGCATACCATGCTTGCAAAAATACCTCACAGGGGGAGGGTGCAGTTGGCCAAAAAACGTTATCTGTGTAAAAATACAGTATATCTTCTTTGCTGAAATGTCTATTCAAGGCCTTTGCCCATTTCTTAATTGGGTTGTTTGTCTTTTTGTTGTTGGGCTAGATATGTAACTCTTAATGAGAGAAAAGTCATTCTGAATTTTAATGAAGTTATTTTGGTCAACTAATTAATTAGTTAATTGGTTAATTAATTTGATTCATACCATACCTCTAGTTCTTCCTGCCGTTTTCTAGCCACCTCTTCCTTTTCTTTCTTTATTCGGAATTCTTCTTGTGCCTTCTGCTCTCTCAGCAACCACTCCTGATGTAATTTTTGTCTGTTAACATGATGAAATAGTCAATTAATCAAAAGAAATAGGTATTAATCTACAAATACACACACATATGATAGCAAAATGACATGTTTTAAGAATGATTAAAATATCATAAGAGATATTCTCCATAAAACAGTTAAGTGGGAGTAAAAAGATGGGAAGATAGAAGTAGATATCTTAGAAGCACTACATTTTAGCAACTATCTTCATAGAGGGTAATAGCTTGAAATCACTATTTCTAAATTTCATATGTGTGTGTGTGGGGTTCATCTTTCACATAAAGTGACACTACGATCATAATAATGTTTAGGTTCCAATAAAATGTGTAACAAGTCTCAAAGCAACAATTAGCTTTTCACATTCAGAAAGTATTACTCTTCCTATTCTATGCATTTTAAAGCCACTATTCCATGATTGTAGCACTATGAAAACCTTGCATCTTCTGCAAGAAACCTTTGCACTACTACTCCATATGGTTAAGAGACTCCTGTGATTTGCCCTGGAGTTCCTGGGTGGTACAAATGGTTAATGCACTTGGCTGCTAGCCAAAAGGTTGGAAGTTCAAATCCACCCAGAGGCATATTGGAAGACCTGGCAATCTATTTCCAAAAAATCAGCCATTGAAAACCGTATGGAGTTTAAGAAGGCAGGAAGGGACAGGAACTGGATGAATGGACACAGGGAATCTGGGGTGGAAAGGGGGAGCATGCTGTTACATTGTGGGGATTGCAACCAATGTCACAAAATAATATGTGTATAAATTTTTGAATGAGAAATTAACTTGAGCTATAAACTTTCACCTAAAGCACAATAAATTCTAAAAAAAACAAAACAAAAACCCGTGGAGCACAGTTCTACTCTGACACACATGGGGTCACCATGGGTCAGAATTAAGTCAACAGCAACTGGTGGGTGGGGGGGTGATTTGCCCTAAAATACCTAAACTGCTGAAAGCAGGAAAATAAAACTACATTGTGATCATGTCTTTTAAAATAAAGAATACTAGAGGCTTTAAGAAAAGATGACAAGAAGTTATAAAAATAAATTAGTGGGTGGCTATTTTTTTAAATGACCAATTTAAAACATAATTTTTAAAGAGTATAAAACATCACTCTTTATAACTGGTCATTTTAAAAAAAAGAGGAGTCCTGGTGGTGCAATGGTTAGGCATTTACTTGGCTGCTAACAGAAAGGTTAGCAGTTCAAACCCACCCAACGGCTCCACAGGAGAAAGACGTAGTTATCTGCTCCCATAAAGATTACAGGCTAGATAACCCTATGGGACTCTGTCACAGGGGGTCGCTATGAGTTAGAATATGACTGATGGCACCCAACAACAACAATGTTACTAAAATGGCAAGTGTTTCAGACATTCATATAATAAGTTTCTAACTTAAAGATGGGTTGTATTTCAAGTTTATATGCCAATCATATAGGTTGTATTTTCTCACTGAACTTGTAAAAGGGAAACGAAATATGAGAAATTGTTCTAAATGACTTTAGCAACATTAGGAATTAGATAGGGCTTTATGTTTAGCCTGGGGACCTAAACAGAATTTTAAATATTCTATGGGAAAATATATTCAATTTCCAACTACAGATTCTAGGAATGCAGCTTTTAGCCATGGTAGAAGCTAGCTTATTGCATATGTCACATTCATGCACCTGTTATAAGGTAGGTATAGATGTTTCAGTCTGCACAGCTCTGATTTATGAATTCTTGAAGGAACACATTAATTGTACATAAACTGAATCAAAATGGTATATACATTAAGATCACAAAAAAGTAAAATGTTCCAAACTTTAAAATTTAATAACTCGAATATCCTACATATCTGCTTTAAAATAGTATATAAAGTCATACAGTACTTTCACATAATTAATTTTCCCATTTTTCAACAATAATTAAAGTAGTATGTAACTAGTATAGGAATAAATGAAGATGAAAGGAAGACAAAGGTACATTGTATTGTGATTTAAAAGAAGCATTTCAAATAAATGGGGAAGCAAATAAAAATTACTTCTCTATTGTATACCATATCTATCATCTGTACCACAATGGAAATCTATAATAATAATAAGTGCCACCAGAGCTATTACAGCACCTCTTATCTACAGCAATCACACACCACCTCGTGTAATCGTCACAATTCTATGAGGTAGGTACTATGATTACTTTTTCACTCCATATTAAAGATAAGGACACTGAAATTTAGAGGGATTAAGAAACTTAAGCACACTTGGACAGCTAGTAAGGAGCACAGTCAGGATGGGAACTGAGGGCTGGTTGAATACAACTCCATGTTCTCTAATACTACCACATTAAAAAAAAAAGAAAAAAAAACCACCCTGGTAAATACTAAGAGAAAAACTAGCAGAATATTTTCATCATCTTGGGATGGGGGAGGCATTTTTAAGTCAGACACTAAGGCCAGATATTGTAACAAAAGTTGACTATGTGAAAATCAAATTATGGTAAGTAATGCCACAAATCGAATTAGGACTAATAACAAATGAGAAAAACTTACATCACACATATGACAGATCAAGGATTAATATCCTCAATCCTTAATATCTTTAATAACATCTCTTATAAAGCAAGTAAAAACAAAGATATATTCCAAAAGAAAAAGGTACAGGTCTTAAGCATTTTATAAATAGGTAATAAAATTTATAAAACGATATTCAACCTTACTAATTCCAAGTAATGTACATTTCAAACAATGAAATATAAATTTTTACCAAAGGAGCTTTAAAAACCAATAATGCCTAGAGTGGGCGCAGGTATAGGGAAAGGAGCACCTTCATTCAGCTGTCAGAAGGGCTGCCAATTGGGATGCCGTTTCTACCCTGCCATCTACAAGTTATGATCCCAGCAATTTCATTTCTAGGCATTTTCCTAAGGAAATAATAGGACAATTTCCAAGGATATACAAGCATGGATGCTCTTTGCAACATTTATATAATAGTAACAAACCATTAAAACCTGAATGTCCATCAATAGAGAACTATAAATTATGAATGAAGAATAAATTATGAATAAACAGTATATTATGCTACATCCATACAATGGATACTCTGTTGCCATTAAAATGGTTGAATTAGATCTCTGCATTGACACTGAAATATATATAGTATTCTTAGCAAAAAATAATTTATAGAAGAATATGGATAAATATTAAGCCATTCGAGAAATACACATGTATTGTACATAGGCACTTTCTCTCATTCTTACTTTCTTTACCGTAGCTATCTTTGGGGTGCTGTGTTTATTGAAGGCCTTTTACTTTTTCCACTTAACTGTTTGGGTTTTTGTTTCGTTTTGGCAAAAACATTTACGAATTAACAAAAAGTTACGAATACTTGGGTTAAAAAAATAAAGACGATACTCAGTTTTAGCCTGTTGGCTAGAGATATAAATGTTCTACATAAGGTATTTTATAAGTCCTATTTTGTACAGTGAAACCTGTGAGAGCCGGAACTCGATGGGATTGCCGTTTTTCTGGGTCTCACAAGTGTTCTGCCTTTGACAGGGTGCAGTCTTACCACCTTTCTATTGTTCTCTATTAGTGGAAAATATTTGAGTTTTCCTTCTCTGATAGGTTTCTGCCTTATACAGCTTTTGCAGGTTTTATGGTACAAGGTTTTATAAAGAACACCTGTACTAGTAAAGGCTTGCTTTTGTTGCCGTTAGGTGCTGTTGAGTCAATTTTTGACTCTTAGCAACCCTATGGGACAGAGTAGAACTGCCCCGTTGGGTTTTCTAGGTTGTAATCTTTATGGGAGCAGATCACCAGCTCTTTCTCTCGCGGAGCCTCTGAGTGGGTTCAAATTGCCAACCTTCCTGTTAGCAGCTGAGGGTTTAACTGTTGTGCCACCAGGGCTCCAGTAAAGGCTTATAATACTCAGAATAAATGAGTTCACTTTAAGGGCTGAAATCAGTGCTGACCTCTCTGTCTCCAATAGCTTCTCTTCTTCGAGCTGGTGTTCTTCAATAAAAGCGTCCTCCTCCTCCTCCTCCTCCTTCTGTGAGAGTCCTAGTGGAATTTAAACATTTTATTATACTATCTGCGTACTGCAAAACCTAGGTCAATAACTCAGGAAATGAAATACATAAAATTTTTAATCTTTACAAAACGGTATGAACCTGTTTTTTAAAATTTTCCAATAATAAGGACTCCAATTGGCCAAATCTGGAAAAATCTGAGCATCAAAAAGAACAATAATGTAGTGGATACCAAAAACCCCACGGCCATTGAGTCGATTCTGACTCAGAGCAACCCTATAAGACAGAGTAGAACTGCCCCATAGGGTTTCCAAGGCTGGAATCTTTATGGAAGCAGACTGCCACATCTTTGTCCAGCGGAGGGGCTGATGGGTTTGAACTGCCCATCTTTTGGTTAGCAGCCGAGCACTTTTCTCACTGTGCCACCAGGGCTCCTTGATGTAGTGGATAACATATTAAATTAAAAAATTAATCCATGGTTCCATAATGATACTCAAAAAGGTGGTGGGGGTGTGTGGGGAGAACGTAACATCTTTACAGAAGACTGGCAACTAAAATATTTTGACAAAAATAGGAAAATTATCATTTCTGTAAGCCCCCACTGTAAAAATTCATTTAGACAAAGATGCTGAAAACACTAGATGAAAGTGTGTTGGCAAGAGAATATTTACCCCCATCTCATAATATCACCCCATAGATTAGTACTAGTCAACTAGTCCCAAAGGAGGAAAAGCACCTTTAGGATGGCACAATCTGGTGGGTAACATCTTAACCACACTTAGCCTCACTCACAGTGGAACAACTTGACATTACAGACCTCCTGACATATATGATAAGTAGTATACAACACCTGCTCTGTAGCATTTTGCCATAAAGTATACTCTGAAGCTAATCATGGGGAAACAATCAGACAAATCCAGAATGTGGAACATTCTGCAAGATAACTGGCGTGAGCTTTTGGAAGTTAGGTGCAAGTCTGGTTTTGTGGTTCTGCAGGAGAATGTCCTTATTCTTAGGAGATGCAAGCTGAAGTATTGAGGGAGTGAAGTTCATAAAATCTGCAACTGACTTGCAAACGGTTCAGAAAAAATATATGTGTGGACTTATCTATCTGTATAAAGAGAAAGTAAGGCAACATGTTAACAACTGGCAAATCTAGTGAATGGTTCACGGATGTTTACTGTATTATTGTCTCCACTTTCGGCACACTGCAACATTTATAAAATAAAAACATGGGAAAATAATTTTTAGTACAATAAAAATTTATTTCTTCTCCAATTCAAAATAATATAAATTTGAGAGGAAAAAAAGCAATGAAAGTGGAGATGGAGAAAAGGGGGGAAATGGAAGCTATCTTAAGGAAATAGAAGATCTCAGGCTTATAGGAAAAAGATTTTGTGTCTGTCACATACATTGAGTATAAGTCTAACCAAAAGGTCTCCCGGTCCTAGATATTTAAATTCATTTGCTTCTCTTAAGCCAGTAAATTTTATTATCTTAGCACCTGAAATTAAAAGAAAACAGGCAACAACAACAAAAAAATGAGGATAAGTTCTAATGCACACAATTATCCAGATAATTAAATGAGGGCCTTCGGAGAACCTGGCACAGAGGACTGACTGACTTATTTACAGAGGTGTGCTTATAGACTAAGGTCCCTAGGGGCGCAAACGGTTTGTGCTTGACTACTAACTGAAAGATTGGAGGTTTGAACCCACCCAGCAGCTCAGTGGGAGAAAGACCTGGCGATCTGCTTCCGTAAAGATTACAGCCTAGGAAACCCCATGGGGCAGTTCTACTCTGTCACATGGGGTCGCTATGAGTCAAAAATTGGCTCAACCACACCTAACAACAACTACTAAGCTAAAGGTTGGCAGTTTGAACCCAACTAGTAGTGCTGTGGAAAAAAAGCATGGTGATCTGCTTCTGTAAAAATTACAGCCAAGAAAATCCTATGGAGCAGTTCTACTCTGTAACACGAGGTCACCATGTGTCAGAATTGACACGACGGCAATGGGTTTGGTTTTTTGGCTTTTGCCCATAGGCTATAGTCACTGCCTGGACACAGCTGATACCCCAAAATATTTGTTGACTGCCTCACTCAAGCCCTCAGCCCTACCCCAAACCAAGCTCACACACCCTGCAGAAGGGACTAACAGTTCTGAGTATATAATTTTCTCTACATGTATAATCAAATATACACAATTATACATATATGCATAATGGATCATATTATACATGTAACTGTATACACTGAATCATGCTATAGTTTTGAAACTTGCTTTTTACACTTATGTTATTGTTAGGTGCCATCAAGTCAATTCTTGACTCATAGAGACCCTGTGTGACAGAGCAGAACTGTTCCATAGGGTTTTCTAGGCTATAATTTTTTTAACTTTATTAATTTTGTTGTTGTTGTTGAGAATGTACACAGCAAAAACTTATTAACCAAGCAAAAACTTTACCTTCCAATTTCTCTTTCCAGAGCCCCTTTGGATTTTGTGTTTTGTTTCCTTATGGGGTCTTCTGCCCCCATCCTTTATAAAAATTTTGTTGCTGTTGTGGGGAATATACACAGCAAAACATACACCAATTCAACAGTTTCTACATGTACCATTTAGTGACACTGATTACATTCTTCAACTTGTGCAATCATTCTCACCCTCCTTTTCTGAGTTGGTCCTTCCCCGTTAACATAAACTCACTGCCCCTAATTTTTCAAGCTGCTGACTCGACAGCAATTGGTTTGGTTGTCAATTTGATACCATACAGACAGTTCTTAAAAGAGCATAATGCTCATGGTAGACATTTTTTACTAGTTAAGCTACTGTTTAGTTTTAGGAAGACTTCAGCGATATCTTTGGTTTAAGGTTTAAACAGTATCTCAGGGCAATAGTTTTAGGGGTTCAGCCAACATTCACGGCTCCAGGAAGTCTAGAGTCCATCAAAATTTGAAATTCTGTTCTGCTTTTTCCCCCTTTTGATCAGGATTCTGCTATAGAATCTTTGATCAAAACGTTCAGTAAGGGTAGCTGGGCACCATCCAGTTCTTCTGGTCTCTCGGCAAAGGAGGCAGTTGTTCATGGAGGCAATTACCAACACATTCCATATCCTCCTTCTATTCCTGACTCTCTTTCCTCTGTTGCTCCAGGCAAATAGAGGCCAATTGTCATGCCTTGGACGGCCGCTTGGAAATTTTTAAGACCCCAGGCACTACACAATGAACTAGCAGGTAGAACAGAGGCACTAAACATGTTATTAGGTCTAGAGCAGATTGCCAGGTCTTTCTCCCACAGAGCTGCTGGGTGGGTTCAAATCACCAACTTTTCAGTTAGCAGCTCAGTGCTAACTGCTGTGCCACCAGAGCTCCTTTTTTATATTTAATGTCACCTTAATTTCTGGACAAGAACCTCATTTCAGATCATCTCAAGTAGAACTGAGTGCCAAAGAGGCTACCAGTAATTGAGAGGTCGATAATTCAGAAATTTCTACTAATCATTTGACTATTCTTATGCTCTCTATATTCTAGCCTTCTGGTTAATGTTTGCCCACCCAAGTGCTACAACGAGTGAACAGTGTCCACAGACTTTATGAAACACCACTAAGTAAAGAACTGTGTGTCAGAGTGGGCACAACTAGGAGCTAGAATCCACAGACAGATACTTAGTCTTTTATCTGCCATTAGCTATGTAATCTTGAGCAGACTAGTAACCTGTATCCTTCAACAGATTAAACTGTCAAGGGAGATGATCCACTTGACTCTCCACCAAGGTTCACTCTGAACAAACTTTGCAAGGGCAAAAGGAAAAAAAAAAAAAAAAAAAAAACACTGGCACAATATAAACACTAGCTATTATAAAATTTAAAACAGGGAAAGAAAAAGTGGATGAATTTTTTTTTTTTTTTAAAGATATGTTAGAAGTAGGTTAAATGAACAAAGTGAGGCTGCTGAGAACTTTAAGCGCAGAGAAAAAAATGTACAATAAGGGCATAAATAACTCCAACCTACCCTGTGCTTCCTTTTCAACTATTAAAAGAGAGATGCTAACAGAGGTTACAGGTAAACACACTGCTCCTTCCATTCCAAATATTCCAAGTACTGCTACTAAAATAATCACTTGGGAACTCCAACAGTAAAGGAAAACTCTATGACTGTGTTTCTCAAGGTTGGGTGGAGAATCCTGGCTACCTGAGGCGATAGCCTCAGGACTTTGAGAACTGTCTAGGATATCTTAATAAGCATATTCTGGATAATCCAAAGGACAACCGTTGTAACCCAGTACAGCTCTGTGATTTTAGTGCTCTCATCTGTGTTGATAACCATGCTTGGCCCAAGCAGTACTACTTTTATTGTATTAAACAGGCAGGTTTAATAAATAATAAACGATAGGTTCTGCCATGTGAAGGCCAAATGGCATCATGCCCAGCTGTACAAATGAAGGTTCCACACTGAACAAAGTATTTTCTAATGAACAAGGTTGTTTCAATAGGGGGGAAAAAACAAAAGCAAACAACAGTGATAAATAACCAGGCAACAATAATAGAGATATTCCAAACTCCAAAGAACTTACCCCATAGCAATCAGTATCATTGAAACAGTATCTGCCTCACGTCATATCTAACATTACATTACGTAGATGTGAATTTCACGGATGCGTCATTTCATTTGGTTGTATAGTCAAATAAGAGTTTCATGCTTGGATATATGTAAATAACATAATAATAATTTGAGTCAATTAAGGGTCTCTTACATTACTCAAGTTTGAGAAAAACCTGCAAAATGTCTAATTAAAATCCTCGACCTCTGCTGGTTTTACACAGAAAAATATCCACCGAATACTTAATATGTGCCAGGGCTGTAATTCATTTACACTAACACAGCTTATCACATGGGTCTAACATAACTTTATTTGGGAGGCAGCAGTCACAGTAATTCTTCTTCGGATACTTTGGCTTCCTTTTGACACTGGGGCATCAAGTTTGAGCGAAGGTCGGAGAAAGGTAACTTCACAGACAGAAAACAGGATGAGGGAGACCGTTACCTGAGTCTCTCAGTCGAGCGAGTTCCTGCCGACGCTTCTTCCGTTTCTCCTTCTTCAGGGCGGCCCTGTACTTTCTGTGGCTGGAACACCGAGACACACACACGCGAGTCAGTGGCCGCATCTGCAGCGCTGCCCGAGCTCCCGTCTCCTCAGCGACAGGGCAGTGACAGGAAATTGTTCGGGTGATCAGGGGTGAAATCTTGCTTCCCATGCGTTCATTTCAGAGCACGCACCTACCATCGCCTCGTCCGTCCACGCCCAGACGGCAGGTCTTCTCCAACCGCCACCTGTTCCCCTCCTCGTCCCCCTTAGCCCACGGACGCCCGTGACAGTTCAGGGAGCCAGGCTCCAACTGTAGCAGTGGTTCGCTCATTCGGCCTAAGGACCCTTTCCTTTTCTCTTGCACACTCTCCAGGCTCAGCCTCGGCCCGCTCCGCCCCCTCCCTCGCCAGCTCATACCCCCAGCACAGCTTACCTCTGTTTCTCAGGAAACAGTATCTTCTCGGGGGCCGCCATCTTATCAGCGCGCTCCGCCCCCACCCCTCCCTCCGACAAGAGCCGTCCGGAAGAGGCGGGCCTAAGCGAGGGAGTGGCTGCGCGCGCAGACCCAAGTGCCGCCCGGCTGCCCGAGTGAACCTCAGCCCGGGGAAGACCAAAGACAGAGAGGGGAGCCTCCCGTTGGCGGCTCGTTTCCAAAGCCCTGCCCACGCAAATGTCGCCGCCCCGAAAGTCCTCTGATACTCCTACCCATCCTGGAAGTCATTCTCTCCTCAGCGCTTCCCCAGTGTTTTATTACTATCTTTCCCTACTCCATAGGAGGTTAAGGTCCCACCTCTCCTTTTCTCCTCGTCCATTCATCCATCCACGAACCCTCATCCGACGCAGAGCGGCCTCTTATTTCGTACACAATACCTCACACTGCTTTAGGCTGCGCCCCCTTCGCGGCTCTTCCTATCAGCGCCTCAGACAAAGCTCCAGGCTCCGCCCCCTGCCAGTCTCACACGCGGGCTTAAGCTACAAACCTCACTGTTGGGGCTGCAAAGGTGGAACCTCTGCCTCCAAGGAGTTTACAAGTTAGGGCCAGAGAAGGGCTAGTACATAAATAATATAATACGGTCCATGCAAAGATGACGTTCACTTAACATAGTCCCCCTGGGGATTCAGGGAGAGCTTTCTGATGCCTGAGGCTTTTTTTTTTTTTTTTTTAAACTCCAGGTGGAGAAAGGTGGGAATTGAGTTGCAGGCAGATCAGCATAAGTAAAAGCACTGAGGGGGGGAAACTGTGAACTCTGCCAGGAACAGGAAGAATTTTCGCTATCAAATTTAAAGTGCAATTTGCGCATATCAAGCAATATAGCGGTAGAGGTGGGCTGGAGGAGGGTTCTGTATGTCGTGCTAAGAATCTTTAATTACACTCTATAGGCAATAGGTAAACACAGAGCTTTTAAGTAAAGGCTTGGTGTGGCCATATTTGTGTTTTAGGTACATTAGGCTGATTCGCAATGAATTTTCATGAATAGGTTTGAACTGCTCAAGTTAATTTCGTTACCGAAGTAACTCTAAAAGCCAATTCCACTTCCAAACTGTAACTACCATAATTTGAATTCAAGAAATCATAAGGTAAAAATAAGACTTGTAAAATTTTAATGCCAAGATACATTCTTCTATAATATCCGGATAAACAGAACAAAGTTACCTTTGTTCTGCAACATGATACCTATTTGTATTATTCTTGGTGCCCTGAAAGGCAACATCTACTTATTCTCAAGTATGTATATTTCAGGTTAGCCCTCTGCTAAGGTAAAATTTATATTTTATATTGTCAATAGAAAATAGGTCATTATCCCAAAAAGGTTAAAAAAAATTTTACTTCTAGAAATGATAGTGTAAGAAAGAAATATCCAGTGCTACATAGAGTCCTTATTACTCAATTTCTTTGTCTACTGATAAGCTGTAGGCAACACAACTGCTGGTGGTTTGAGAAAGAACAATGGCAGAGTCGATATTCCCACCCAGAACCAAACAAAAGTATCATCTCTGAAGAGTAGTTGAATCCACAAAAAAGGAATCAAAGCAAAATTTACCTAAAGACAAGAATGCATTACTATTTATCCGTAAAGTAGCCAAACCAAACCAAACCCATTGCTGATGAATCGATTCCGACTCATAGCGACCCTATAGGTAGCCAGTATTGTTTATATTAACTAATTATACTGTAAAATTAGAGCTTATTTGCTTAAATTAACTATATCTATTTTTGTTCAATAAAACTTTACATGAAAGACTTAACTAAGTTGAATTGAAAAGACAATAAAGCTTTAAGTAGAATAGGTATCAAGTAAATTATAGGATTCTTCTAGTGGCACAGAGAAACACCAAAAGTGGTTTCAATAGAAGATTTTTGCTAATATCATGCCAAGGGAAAGACACTTCCTAAACTTTTGGAGGGTGGATGCCTGCTTTGTAGAACAGTCAGCTTCACTCTGATCAGTGTAGCCCTGAGAAAGGAGAGAGGGGCTGGCAGCTGGTGCTAGATGGTGACTGTAGATGTGCACTAGACGTAGACTGTTGCTCTAGTACCAGTAGTGCCCGACTTAGGACGGGGTTCCATTCCGACGACTCCATCATAAGTCAGTTCTGACATAAATTGAGTAGCTCTTTTTCTTTTTAAACTTTGCATTATTACTGCTTTTTATTATCAGTATCTTTATAAATCCAATCTTTGAACATTTGCGAGTGAACATCTGAGAATGATAACATCAGCAAATTACACGCTGCAACATTGTATGTTGTACATATTACTAACGATAAGATGTAAAAACAAACAAACAAAAACAGACAGTTGTAAGTGCAGTTTGTCATAACTCAAATATGTCGTAAACCAGGGACTATCTGTAAATCCCATCTGAGTTTTCCAGTTACTTTCTGATCTACATGTTAAAAGATGTCTCAGTTTATTTTACAGACATGTTATATACCCCAAACGGTCCCTGGGTGGTGCAAAGGGTTTGTGCTCTATTACTAACCTAAAGGTTGGCAGTTCAAACCCACCCAGTGGTACCACAGAAGAAAGGCCTGGCGATATGCTTCTGTAAAAATTACAGCCAAGAAAACCCTATGGAGCAGTTCTACTCTGTAACACATGGGGTCCCCATGAGTCATCACTGACTCCACTGCAACAGGTATATACTCCAAAGAATAGGAAGGAAAAGTCATTCAACAAATGTTAATATTATAAAGAAAGAGTTTTATTGATCTAATATTATTCAGGGAAGGTGAGCAGCAATTTTAATACAAAAGTTCTTTCTCCAGCCTTTTGACAGACCATTAGCCCATTTCTCCTCTCTGTCTAGGAAGGTGCACGTAAAACACTTTTGAGAGGGCATAAAAAATGTAAAAGGTTTCTTGCTAGGGGTGTATCAGGAGTCAGGAATTAGAGTGCCCCTTTGAGGGGTCATATGACTAAGGCACTGAAGAAACCACATCCCCAAGGCAGTTTCCATAATCTCTGTGGGGAAAGTGACCACAGAATTTATCGTGTAAACCAGGACATGGTTGAGAGTGAAAGAGAGGTGCTGTTAATAATTACGTCAGAATAGCATGCATAAGTAAATCAGGAGTGGCAAACCAGGACACACAGTCACCCTACTAACATGGCATCCTTTGTACCTCTGAGGTAGAAGGGGAAGTCAGGGATTCTGTACATCGGTCCTCACTCCAACATGGAACATCCACTGCAATAGAGTTTTGTACTAGGATTTTATAAGAGGCCTCAGTGGGAAGGCTGGGTGCCCTGGAAAATGCCAATCTTGTGTGTTTCCCCTTTTTAAGATAACTGTAGTTTGAAGCAGATCAATTGCATAAAATTAACATAAAAATTTTTTTTTAAAACTTACTCTGTCTTTTTAAGTAGGAAGATAGGCCTGGTGATCTACTTCTGAAAATCAGCCAATGAAAACCCTATGGATCACAGTGGTCTAACTGCAACTGATCGTGACTGGGCAGTGTTTGGTTCCATTGTACGTGGGGTCACCATGAGTTGGGGGCTGACTCAGTGGCAGCTAACAACATCTTTTCAAGGATTCTTATACATTTCCTCGGGTACACCTGCTTCCCTTTCCCAATAAGGGCAGGTACCCTAGAAGCAAATGCCCTCATCCCCTTTTTATGGAGCGGAGATATCCCCCAAACACTTCCACATACAACTCCAGCCCTTGTAGACTTGATGACTAGCCTATTAATGAAAAAATACTACTAGTTATTGATGCAGCATTGAGCCTGAATGAACACAGGCTTCTAGGCAGTTGGAAATATTCCAAGAAATTTACAAGCTAGGGTGACAGTGGCATGGATTCTTCAGAATTATGTGGAATGACCTAGATTTTAGCCTATCTGGTAAATTTCTCTCCCTATTACTGTAACAAAAATCTTCTAAACTACTGTATAAATTGGGAGATTGAAGTTGATCACCTGCCTTGCAAAGAAAAAACCTTGACTAATGACTAAATAAAGTTCAGACAGCTTTAAAAGGCAGTCAAGACAGCTCTGTCATTGTGGCAAATATTATCATATTCTATAAAGCCGTGTACAAATAATGCGAAATAATGCCATAAACTATAGACTATTTGATTATTAATCTTTTGAAAAACATTTCTGTAAATGTACCATGAAAAAATTCTAAGTTCTAGGTATTTTAAGCACTTTCTTTCAAACATTCTGCATATGCTTTCTATATGAGCAAGCCTTTAAGTAAAATATCTGATCTTCAGGAATGCAAAACGACTCTATGATATAAGTAAAAGTCCTTTGGATTACAAAATACATTTTCTATATTGTAAACTGATAATGAGCATATCAAGTACGAGCAACGACAACGAAAGATCACAGCCAACATTCTCATCGAGAAACCTTTATACAAGAGTACATATTCACGCTCTGAAATAAAGTATACCTCAGACCAACACCAATGTTCAGCCAGGACGCACCAGTCTGGGCTGCTGGCTGTTTCTGACGGGCCTGTCTTCTGCGTGGTCAATTCTTGTGCTTTACCAGTTGCCAAACATGTTGATTATCATTCCTACCTGTATCTCTAAAGAACCACCAACTCATAAACATAAAACGGCGGCTCAGAAAAGTCAGACGTAAAGAGATATCACCATCAGCAACTGGCTGCTATAAAAAGAGAATCTTGTGTGTCTTGCTGGTACTTCAGTGATAAACATCATTACTGATAAAAGTAAGAATTTGTTCACCAAAGAGCTTTCCGCACAGACGGATGGGAAGCTCCCATACCAAGAAATGTGCATCTATAATTATAATCAATTATTAGTAAAGTGCAGCTGTTTAGAATAGTCTAGTTAACAATTTTTAAAAGGCAATATGTATTAAGATAAAATACTGCCCAGATGTCATCGTCTCAGTGGGCAGCATGGCTGGGTTGCTGCTTGGGCTACACCTGTATATTCAGCACATAATCGTGAGGGAACGACGAGCGGACAGTGCGATTCATTAGAGGCTGAAGGGGGCGGAAGTTGTCGACCATTCTTTTCTCTTTCTCCCCCTCTGACGTGAAAAGCAGGGTCCGAAATTGCTCAAGCTAGAAATAGAAACGGGAAACATAAATCATTTCAAGAGAAAAACAGCTTTACTAAATGAATAAATTACATTCATTTTTAAAACCCTGAAGCATTAGACTAAAATTGGATACAGAAGGAAAAACTTACTTCTTGGCAGGAATGCCTTTACCGCTTGAGTGGGAATAAAAGGCCCGCCATGGGTGGGGGACAGCAGCAGGATATGTGAAACCCCAGGAGTGCTCGGGACGATCAGAAAAAGACTGGGGCTCAAAGGCCCTGTGTCCCCATATGAGCCATCTGTGCAGGGCAACTTATTTCCTGTCTTTGATTCTCAGGAACCTCATCTTTAAATGGGCAAAATAGCCAGCGTATAGAATAATAGGCGTCCCCAGGTGGTGCAAGGGGCCCTGGTGGCGCAGTGGTTAAGAGTTTGGCTGCTAACCAAAAGGTCGGCTGTTCGAATCCACCAGCCGCTCCTTGGAAACCCTATGGGGCAGTTCTACTCTGTCCTATGGAGTTCCTATGAGTCAGAATTGACTCGATGGCAATGGGGTTTTAGGTGGTACAAATGGTTAACATGCTCGCCTACTAACTGAAAGGTTGGATGGACATTTGAGTCCACCCAGAGGCACTGCAGAAGAAAGGCCTGGCAATCTATGTCCAAAAAATCAGCCACTGAAAACTCTACGGAGCACTGTTCTACACTGACACACATGGGGTCGTCATGAGTTGGAGCCGACTCCATGGCAACCGATTTTCAAAGACTAATAAAGGAAAGGCCTGATGTATATAGTAACAGTACAAATTTTTTTTTAATTTAACTGACTCATTAACATAAACAATGTATTATTGGTTGCTCATTGCATCTAGGCACTGTGGGTAAAGCAATGCATGTAGATGTCTTCAGCGGTAATGGGATTCTCGGCGCTGGCACTGTCCAGTGGAACTTCCTGCAATGACGGAAATGTCTTCTGCACATCCAATATGGTAGCTACAAGCCACCTATGGCTACTGAGCCCTAAAAATTTGGCTAGTGCGACTGAGGAACTGAATTTCTAATTTTATTTCATTTATATTTAAATTTAAATGGCCACATGTAACTAGTGGCTACCATATTGGACAGCGCAGCTTGATACTAAAGGAGCAACCCAGAGTCTCAAATGCTTGTTGTCTAATGTGGCCATAACGTCAGTCAATAGCCCTGCAGCTTTCGGAGCAGTCACGTTATGGATCACTGCTTACTTCAAGCCGGCCAGAAAATCCGTTCACAACACCACCCCTGTACCATCAGGTTCACTGCAGCTACAGACAGGACAGCCTAGGGCACAGCGGGCAAGCATATGAGAATGTGTTTGGAGCAAAGCCTTTAAGCCAAGCTGAGCCGAAGAGGCAAGCATCGAAAACAGTGGCTGCACCTGCCAATTCCACACACGCCCTCAGTAACTGAGGTGCCTGAATAGGTCAGGCTTATTTTTATTTGGCTAGCTACAAAAGCTTAGAAATAACCCAAAGACCAATAATAAATTATACAAGATCTATGAAATGGACTAGTATATAGCCATTAAACACGATGTTAAAGATCTAGATGTTTATTATCAATAAAATATTCTACACATTGCTGAGTGAAAAGAGCAGCGAAACGGTATGTAGAAAAAATTCCATTTTTGTTAAAAAAAAAAAAAATGTATATTTGTATAGATGAAAGACCAGGAGAATTTACTGTAGCAGTGATTAACACTGAATAGTAACATTATGGAAGAAAGGCCTGGTGATTGACTTCCAAAAGAGCACAGCCATTGAAAACCCCACGGAGCACAGTTCTACTCTGACGCACATGGGGTTGCCATGAGTTGGAATAGACTCGATGGCAACTGGTTTGGTTTTAGTAAGATTATAGGTGACTAGGATTGTAGAGAAGCCCTGGGGGCACAGTGGTTAAGAGCTTGGCTACTAACCAAAAGGTCGGCAGTTTGAATTCATCAGCCGCTCCTTAGAAACCCTATGGGGCAGTTCTACCCTTGTCCTATAGGGTTGCTATGAGTTGGAATCGACTCGACGGCAAGGGGTTTTTTTTGGTTTAGGATTATAGATGACACCTAACATTTTTTTCTGACTGTATTTTTTGCGTTGAAATTTTATTTAAAATGTTCTCACGTGGGCCACTGGGCCTCTGATTTATTTATTTTTTCAGTGTTTTTTTAAACATGAAGAATAGTAGCTGACTAAATGTAAAAGCCACAAAGCTCAGCTTATGGTCAGTCAAGCTCTGTATTTTGCCTAGCAGGTATGCCAAGGAACATCTGTGCCCAGAGAACATGTCGAATGAGCCCCAAGCTCCTCCTGATAATCTATTATGCATCTCCTCTATCAATCTCTCTCTCTACTCCCCTCCATTAATTGAATTGACTCTTTTGAACTCTTGGTGTTTTATATACTCCTTCTTGGGATAAGGAATTCTTCTGAAGAGCAGGGATGGGGAAGGTAGACTCCTTTTGTTTGCACTTCTAGTCTAGGAATGGACTCCAACTCTGCACACCTGTACATGTGAACATGGCGCCGGCCCTCAAGCTCTTCTGCTCTCCCTCTGCCTCTTCCTGCCTAAACCACCCCCGTGGTGCTCCACATCATGCAACTCTGTGCCCCCTGACGTCCTCCCCTTTACCATCCCCTCATCCCCCGGCTGAAGCACTCTCCCAAGCCCTCAGAAAGACTATTCAGTCCTTTCTATCTAAAACAGTTTCCACCCCATTATCATATTATCAAATTGATTTTCTTCTTAGTACTTAACTCAAGCTACAGCTACTGGCCTTTTCATGGATTTCTCTCCTTGTTTTCTGTATTTCCCATGACAATGTAAGTTCCCTGAGGGCTAGGACTTTATGTTTGCTTCACCAAGGTGTTCTCTAGCACAGTCGTTGACCCGAGGTACTAATGAATATTATTAATTTAATGAATGTTATTTGAATGAGTGAACACTGTCCCTGCCAGGGTCTGGGAGAAGAGCAAAAGAGCTTATCAGTATATAATGAGCATTTATATTTTTTTAAAAGACTTACTCGTATTCCATTGTGTGGATCTACCGTAATTTCTTTAGCCACTTCCCTGTTGATTGGTACTTAGGTTGTTTAGAAATAAGGGTGCAAAGAATAACCACGTATACACATAATTTTTCAGACGTGGAATTCATCTTTGGAATAAATTGTTCTTCAAAGGTTAGGTGTACTTGTACTTTGATTAATATTCCAATGGTACCAATTTAACTCCCACCAGCAGGGCATGAGAAGGCCTTTCTCCATGCTTCTATTAGCAGTGGAGGCCATCAAATTTGGGGGTCTCTGCTAATTTGATAGTTGAACCAATGGTATTTCACGGTGGTAGTTTAATTATATATATGTATTTTTTTTTGGCGCCCTGGTGGCGCAGTGGTTAAGAGATTGGCTACTAACCAAAAGGTCGGCAGTTCAAATCCACCAGCTGCTCCTTGGAAACCCAATGGGGCAGTTCTACTCTGTCCTATAGGGTCGCTATGAGTCAGAATCAACTAGATGGCAACGGGCTTGGTTTGGTTTATATATATATATATTTTAATGAGTGAGGTTGAACATCTTTCCATATGTTTATGAGCTTCTTGAGTTTACTCAACTGTAAACTGTTTATACCAATTTTTTTTGTTTGTTTTTTAAAAACTGATTTCTAGGAGCTCTTTATATATTTTGTTCACTGGTGTGTCTCAAACGCTTAGAAGAGTACCTGGCATATAGTAGGCACTCAGTAAATAGTGGCTGATCAAGGAATATGAGTTGTTAATATTTTTCCTGCTTGTCATTTGTTTATGGTGGTTTTCATGATACAGAATCTTTAAACATTTTTATGTAGCCTAATTTACTAGTTGCTTTCTTTATGACTTCTGGTTTCAAGACAAACTTTCTCCATTTGGAGGTATGAAAGAGTTTTCCTAGTACTTTTATAGCATTATTTTTTACATTTTACATTTCAAGTATCTGGAATATATTCTTGTGTAAGGTTTGAATGATGGATCCAACTGTTTTTTCCAAAATGTCTGCTCAGTTGTCCCCCAATACCATTTATTGAATGCACTATCTTTTCCTCCCACTGAACTGAGATGCTACTTTACCATAAACTAAATTCCATAGGTATTTGGGCATATTTCTGAATTTACTATTTTGTTCCATTGATTTACCTCTTTATTCATGTGCCAGTATCACGCTATTTAATTATTGAGACTTTATAATATCTTGTGGATATCATTTTGTTTTTTTAGAATTCTCCTGGCTATTCATGCTTGTTTGGTTTTCTATATGAATTTTAGAAGTAGTGTATCTATTTAAAAGTCCTGTTGGTATATATTTATTGGGACAACATTAAATTTATGGAGAATAAACATTTCATGAAGAATAACAACATAAGGAGAATTGACATCAAAGATGCCAATTATGATGTCTTCCTATTCAATAACATGGTATGAATCTTTATTAGTTCAAGTCTTCTTTTGTGTTCCTCAGGAATGTTTTAAAGTTTTCTTGTTAACTTTTCTTGTTAAGCTTATTCCAAGATATTTTATTTTTTCATATCCATTATAAATAGCGTTCCGTCTTCCATTATATCTTCTAATTGTGATCTACATGTGTCAAATATACCGATTTCTATAAATTTATATTATACTCCACTAATCACTGAATTATCTTATTTTCTGTAGTAGCTTTTTATTATTTATATAATTTCTTTCTTCTTTACTGGTCTAATTGTATTGGCTACTTCCAGAATATCATTTAATATAAGATCTGATGTGCCAATAATAGCAGGATCAGTAGATATCCTTTCCACATTAAGTGTACTACCTACTTTTAAACTGAGATCAATCTATTTTCTCAAGTTAGGGATGTCTCCATTCATTTCTATTTTGTTAAAAATTTTTAAAAAACTGAATGGTGAGTTTTTTTAATGCCTTTTGAGAATCTATGGAAGTGATAATATGATTTTTCTCTTTGCTGAGAAGATGGATTTTGTTAATATCATTAGTATATTGAACCATCCTTACATCCATCCTACTTGGATGAAGTATACATTTCTTCTAATGTACTTCTGGATTCTGGTTCTAAGGTTTTATTTTAGCTTTTTTTTGCTTTTATATACTTCAGAGATATTGGTCTATACTTTTCGGGGGGAAGGGGTTCCAATCTTTGATGAGTTTTAGTATCAACGCTATCCTGGCTTTTAAAAGGAATTTTTTAATCCTTGCTTTAAAAAAAATTAGAAGCTTTTGTTCTTGTTAAAATGTTTTATAATCAATAAAAATTCCATACAAAGGAAGTATAAGTAGTTATTATTGTAATTTAGCTACATTATGAATGAAACAGGATTTTGTGTGTTGACGTAATGACCACCACTTAAACTTAGTTTCTAAGAGAAAAATAAATCCCAAATTCAAAACAACGGGCTTAGAATAAAATTTCTGGGCAGACATTGTTCGGTTCTGTGTTTAGCCTGAGAGTCCACAGCAAAAGTCCCCTAAAAGATTTTAAAGGGTACTGAATACATCCATTTCCAACCTCCATTCTTCTCTTTAAAAGGGTCTTAGTTTACACAGAGATTCACATTCATATAAAAAATACATAATGCATATACAGTAAAACATATGTCATTGTCAAGTATGGAAGTAAAGAGCTTATGTTCTCCTGTGTTTTAACTCCTAGCTCTACTTAATTTGAAGCATCTCCTAATTCATGTCCAAACTGAGATAAGACGTTAGCACATTTTAATAAAAATGTATGAGCATTACAAGATGTTAAAAACAGATGCCACATTTGGAGCCCAGCCCAGTGTGATGCGGGTGCACTTGGGTTTCCTTGGGTAGAGACTGTGGGAAGAACTTACCTGGTCGTCATCAACCTCTATTGCTTGCTTCTTAATGATCCAGGTGACGGATTCGGAGAGCGGCGGGGTGGTCAGAGACCCCGAGTAGGTCCAGTAATCCGGGCAGGTGGGCATCAGGCAGGAAGGGTCGAAAGACCCAAATTCCACAACGGTGTTCTGAGCAAGAGAAGGGGTCATCCAGTCAGTATTTGGTGGTGAAGGCCACCGAGGAATCGCATGTTAAGCGATGATTCTCAGTGTGTGTCGGGGACCAGCAGCGGTCCAGAGGAGCCCGGGTACCTGTGAGGAACCTCCTGAGGAGGCACCGCTTAGGACACGAAGATGCCCAAGCTTTGTTCCTGCAGTTCACTGTGTATTTCTGATACTCCTCAGTGGGACGCAGCAAAAACTGTTTTCTCCCTCAATTCTAGTGAGAGTGGAGGAGGGCGTCTCCTCTGAGAATGGTTGGGAGGTATTAACCAGGTGGTGGCTGGTGCCTAAACAAAGGAGCTCTGGTGGCACAGTGGTTAAAGCACTTGGCTGCTCACCAAAAGGCCGGCGGTTGGAAACCACCAGCCGCTCCACAGGAGAAAGAGGTGGCAGTTTGCTTCTGTAAACGGTTACAGCCTTGGAAACCCTGTGGAGCAGTTCTACTCTGTCCTATAGGGTCGCTATGAGTCGGAATCCACTCAACAGCAAGGGGTTTGGTTTGGGGTGGTGCCTAAACAAGGAGGCCTCTCTTTTACTCTATAGATAAGTCAGTCTCCTTATAGAATGAAATGCAGATGAGGAGAAGCCAAGATCCTGGACTAAAATGGGGTTGAAGTGGGGGGATGAGATAGAAAGAATATCCAGACTTCCCAGGGAACAGCCCCTTTGGGATTCGGAATATTGAACCATTCATCCTAGGGATTGGACAAAGGTATCCAACCTGAAGGATATGGGTAATTGTTCTTTAAAGCTGGACAAGTCAAGTTTCTGTAAAATGTTTCTCCCTGCTGGTGGGAGGGTAGCTACACAAAGAAGGCTGCTCTGAGCATGTTTTCACAAGGACTTAGAAGGGGCTGGTGTGGGAAACACGCTAGATAGGAGATCATTATACTCCTGAGGCCCAAGTCCTCATCAGCGTGCGCCCGCCAATGGATCCCCCAGCGAATCCCAACAGCTACTCCTGAAAGTATCCTAGGTGTAGCATCTCTCCTAACAAGCATTCTAGAAGGCAAGTTGTCTTCTAACATTTCAGTTTAATTACACGCAATTTAATTACATTTCCTGATTCAAAGTGCCTTGTTAATGTCTCCACTTTGAGACTGAAACATAAAATAAATTCAAGTGATTTAGGAACAACAAAAATTACCTTATGCTTAACTGACGGCAACACGTCCACCAATTTCTGCAGCTCTTTATGATGTTTGCCTAGCTAAAGAACCATCAGTGAGAAAATAGTAAACATAATTGACATTGCACTGTGGACACTGTTAACAGAATGTGAATTAAAACAAACTACCTGGAGATTACCGAAAAACCAACAAACCACAGTGCGGAAAGTACGCTTAAACTAGCGACTGAGAACCTTTTCCACATTGCGGAATTAAATTAGACAGAGAACAAAGGAGCGGGCTGTTTGCTGACAGGCTCAGGTGCTGGCAATCCGCAGGGAACAATGCTCAGTAGAACTGTTCTCCATTGGGTTTTCAGTGGCTGATTTTTGGGAAGTAGATCGCCAGGCTTTTCTTCCAAGGTGCCTCTGGGTAGACTGGAACCTCCGATCTTCCAGTTAGTAGTGGAGCACGCTAACCATTTGCACCACCCAGGGACTACTGTATAGTCATGATCGTTTCCCACAGTCGTTTGTCTTTATCTTTTTATTCCATTTAAAATGTATTCTTAACTAAGTTCATATTTCATATAGTATATATTTTGAGTTATTTGCCTTTATCCTTTTATACTAGTGCTGGCCAACAGAAATATCATGCAAGTGAGAGAGGTAATTTTAAATTTTCTAGTAGCCCCATGACAAAAGCAATAAGAAACAGGTGAAATCATTTTTAAGAATAGATTTTACTTAACCCAGTGTATCCAAAATAGTATCATTTCAACATGCAATCAATATAAAAAATTATTAATGCGAAATTTAACTTCCTATACTAAGTCTTCAAAATCTGGTGTGTATTTTACATCCGTCTTAATTTGGATGCTAAATTTTCATCAGAAATACGTTATCTGTATTTAGTTTTCAAAACATTTACAGCTAAAAGTACACATTCACATACCCAAGTTGATCCAAACATTCTTAAAAGTTTTCCAAAGACTGCATTGAATTTTAGGACTTAATTGAAATTGAAATTACTCAAATTAAAAATTCAGTTCTGCAGGGGCGCTGGCCTCATTTCAAGTGGCTTGTGACTATTGGACAGTGTGGCTTTATACCATTTAAAATACATTTGTAACAATCTCATATTTTAACCACTGTTTAGTTTTAGCAGCATATCGATCCCAATATTCTTAAAGTAAATAACACTGTTCTATGTTTTCATTGCAGAATACAACACATTAAAGTTGGTAAGATTTCTTTTTTTACCTTTAAAAAGACTCCTATCACAGCCAAGCCATTTTCCATCAGTGTCGCATCCTCAAAGCTTTCAAATTTGACCGCATTCCAATGCACCAAGTGCAGCTAAAACACCATTCACAGAGGGTTTAATACATAACAATATAGGAATACCCCAAAACAAACCGACAGCCTTATTCAACATACACTACTTAAACACGTGTCCACCCTGGCCAAAGCATACAATGGTCTGCTGCAAAAGGAGATAGAAATGACAGGAAGTAATTTAGGGAAAAGCAGCAACTAATATTACTTTGGAATAAAGGAACTTATTTGGGGAGAAAATGGAAGAACATTTATAGAGCAAAATGAGTCACATTTCAGTGGCAGATCAACATTTGTCCATTTCCATCCGGATTTGCCTGAAATACTAACATTCAAAACCATTTGCATCCAAAAGAGATGTTTATATTGAGAGAAACAGATTCTCCCTATGGGAATTAGACAAGAGTTGAAGACAAATTTCTTCTTTGAGGGATAACCACTTAAAATGTGCTTCTTTTTATAATTAACATTTAAAAGTAAACTAGAAAAAAAAGCTGTAAGAAGAAATTCTATTTCCTTATGCATTCCTCATATTTCCCTACAAATGATTCAGCATTCACGAACTTTCTTTACAGCATCACCTTTAACCCAGCCTTCCAAGTGAGAAACCTCAAGGTCATTGTTAACTTTGCCTTCTCCTCTCTTGAAGAGGATAACGCTGCCTTCGAGTTTGGTGGCTTTTATTCCAGCAATGCTTTTTAAATTTTGCTTTTTCTCTACATTTCTATTGGTATGCCTTCATTGAGCCTCCTACCATCTCCCACTTGGATTGACCCAACTTTGTGGCTCTGTACTATTGCCTGGGTTCTTTCTGCTTTCATTTGAGCCTAGCTCAGAATTCCCTTTCAGGATTTTCAGGTTCAATTTGGCCACGTTATTCGACATGAGGGAAGTTGTCATTTTTACAGGTCTAAGCTGGGTGGAAGGAGCCCCGGTGGCACAGCAGTTAAGTGCTTGGCTGCTAACTAAAAGGTCTGTGGTTGGAACCCAGCAGCAGCTCCATGGGAGAAAAGACCTGGTGATCTATTCCTGTAAAGATTTACCAAAAAAACACCCAAAAAAACAAACCCACTGCCGCTGACTCGCTTCCAACTCATAGCAACTCTACAGGACAGAGGAGAACTGCCCCAGAGGGTTTCCAAGGCTGTTGTAATCTTTAAGAAGCCATATCTTTCTCCTGCGGAGCGGCTGGTGTGTTCGAACCGCTGATCTTTTGGTTAGCAGCCGAGTACTTTCACCACTGCGCCACCAGGGCTCCTTCCCTGTAAAGATTCCAGCCTAGGAAACCCTATGGGGCAGTTCTACTCTGTCCTATAGGGTCGCTATGAGTCGGAATCAACTTGCTGGCACACAACGATAACAACAAGGTGAGTGGCACGACTTGAAGAATGTCATCAGCGTCACTGAATTATACATGCAGAAATTGTTGAATCGGTGTGTTTTGTTGTGTATATTTTTACAATTAAAAACAAAAGTGAGCCCCTGAGAGTGCGCTTGAGCCCTTACAGGAATCACCTGGTTCGTACTGATAATTCTTAAAACTAGAAGCCTTAGAACAACCCCACTCCTCCAGAGTTGTTGTTGTCCTTGGACTTCTGACATACCTCCGCTGGGTAGCACTTGCTGTCCACGGTGTGCTCAGAGCCCCAGGTGTTGATGGCCCCCCAGTGAAAATGGAACTGCTTCAACCGGTAGTTGTGTTCCAGGGGTCCTCCCCTGATCACTGAAATGACACATCCGGCAATTCAGGGGTCAGGCCGCCTCTGCGAGGGGACCCTCTGAGCTGTCTTTAAAGGGAGCATCCTCTACTATGTATGAGTGTTTATAAACTTGATTTCCATGCAGTTAACACATGTGTAAGGGTGAGATCTGCACCCCAAGTGGCCCCAAGATTTAACTCCACACCAAGCTACATACAATTGTTAAGGCCGATCCTTGAGTTGTCCTTACAGTCTACATTAAAGTGTATAATAAAACACAAATATTTACTTGAAAATTTATTTTACTTTTTTTATATTTATAATATTTTTTACATTTATAATATTTTACATGTTTTTATATTTACTTGATACTTTACTTGGTAATTTTTGAAGATACTAGTGTTTCCCTTTGATTGAAATGGAATAGAGAATTTGCAAGTCAAAAATGATCACCCATCCCTTTGGACAGCGTGAACAATGTGAGTTGCTCCACACTTCAACAACGGCCCTTGTGTTGGATGACAAATACTTCTTGTTTTGACTTGACTTTTCTGGGACTGGTGAAATCAACACATTACGGGCAAAAGATTCGGAGGAGAGAAGGTTTTAAAGTCACCCTTTCTCGGGCTTTGGGTTGGGTTGACTTGTTTGTTTGGCTTGAATTTGGTGAAGCATATTTGTTCTTCAGTTTTTCCATCTCATCAGACCACGGTGGCATCTGTCTGTATATCATCAGACTAATACTGCAACACGAAAATCATTCATTTGACCATCTTAATTAACTCCAGAGTGTTCTGCATCGTTAATTCAATTTTATGGACACAGATGATCAACTGCAGTGACTCCAGGGAACAAATGCACTGGCTAGGTCACACAAGGGTCTGTTATACATTTTGCTGCTTTTGAAAACATTTTACATAATTTCCTCTTTTATAAAAAAAGGAAGAAGAAAGGGTTTTGTAAGAGGCGAGTAAAGACACCAATGATCACTTCCCCTTGGGGGCAGGGGAGGTGCAGAGAACAATACCACGTGACTCAATACATCACTACAGTGACCAGAGGACTGTACTAAAGTGTGCTGAAATAAAAATAAAATGTTATCTTCCAAAACTCTTATTGTCTTTGCCAGCTCCATATTGCAAGTATGATTTTGGCAGATATTCAATCCAGTGCGTTGAACCAAACTGAAGTTTGGGTCCCAAGTGACGTGACAAGGGCAGAGGAGGGCAGTCGGCTTTTCCCTCCTGGTCCTCAGCACAACACCGGGCCCTCACCAGGCATCCCCTCCAGTGATGACGAGCGCAGCCGGCAGGATAAGTCACCGATGGGTGGGGGAGTGGGTGGGAGCAGGATTGGTCTACAGGAGGTGTTTTGATTCACCCACACAGTGCTGATTCACACAATACTAAACAAAATTTGTAATTAGTTGTCAACATGTAAAGCGGGACAAGTGTACATAAAAATTCAGATTCCCAAACAGACTTGAAAAGGGGCCAGTCTGGCCATGTTGGGCATACTCCTCCTGGGCGACAAGTGACTGGGCGGGAGAAATGGCTGCCCTCATCAGTTCTTCACGGTTCCCCACTGCTGGGCTCCTTAGACCCTCCCAGCCTCACTCCCTGGCCTATAGGTACATCTGCATTTGTGATCCCTGGAGAGAAGAGGTTAGAGGCCCAGGCATCTGATGCTCGTACCTGCTGGCTAGGAAAATCATTAAGTCCCTACTACGTGCTGGGCACTCTACCCCTATAAATTGCCCATAGTGGAAAGGTGAAACAAGGAGGTATTCTACTGTATATTGTGGTTAAGAGCATGCACTTTGCAGGAAAAGGGTCTCAGTTTGACTAAATTGGCTGTGTGTCATTAGCCATGAATGCCAGGAGCTTCTAAGCGGGTTTCCACCATCTCTCCTGTCTCCTGGTAGTCACACTCTTCTGTAATCCCCTCCCCTGAGTGAGGGCTGGACCCAATGACTTGCTTTTCAGGGCAAAAGTGATGAGATGTCACTTTCGAGAGTGGGTTATAAAAAGACTGTGGCTTCCATCTTGCCTTACCTCTCCGGCTCTCCTCGCTTGCTCACTCTGATGAAACCAGCTGTCATGTTGTGAACCATCCTGTGGAGAGGCCCACATAGCAATGAACTGAGAGTGGTGTCTGGCCAACAGCCATCAAGGAACTAAGACCCTGAGAGAAACTGAATCCTGCCACCAGCCATGTGAGCCTTGAGATGAGAGCCCAACTCCAGCTGACATCATCTTCTTCTTTTTTTTTTTTTTTAAAAAATGAATAGTTTCACTGTCACTTTCATCCGTATGAATTTCATGAAACAGAGTATCTGAAGAAGGAAACCTTAAAAATGGGGCAGAATTGGTATCCTTTGGGTAGAGACAAATAGCTTTTTTCTTTCTTCTACCAGAGCAGCTGTCTGCATTCACGTGAACACTGTGAATGAGTATGCACCCGTGTTTAAGGAGAAGTCCTACAAGGCGACGGTCATTGAGGGGAGGCTGTACAAGAGCATCCTGAGAGTGGTGGCAGTGGATGCACACTGCTCCCCCCAGTTCAGCCAGATTTGCAGCTATGAAGTCATCATCCCAGATGTGCCATTTATTGTTGACAAAGACGGTAAGAACAGAGGAGCACATTTTCCCCAGTGAGGGCTAGCGATCTGGGGCAAACACAGTCCCTTCCACGCCCAACAGATCTAAGTACAAGTTCATACACAGGACAATTTGTAGCACTTCAGTGAACTCCACAGATTGGAGACCTGACTTGATGTGTGTTTGTTTCACATTTAGGTTTTCACTCTGCCTTCGACACCGGCTAACACGTTGATCACGGTCCAAGGAGAGACCCTGAGCCAGAGGGCACAGCAAAGCTGTGCCCAGAATCCCAGACTCTGAGCGTGGTCTGCAAAGTCCCCCGCAAGCTGGCTCCTGCTACCTCTGGGCTTGCTCTTCTTCCACTTTCATCTTGGACTTCACATGGAGTAATACCTAATGCAAGCATCACACCTCCACCTCCGCGTGGGCTGCCCAGGCATCACTTCTGCCAAGAAGCCATTTCCCACTAGGCCCACATGCATACCTCCATCAGAGCGCTTCACACGCTGCGTTAGCGCCATTTCTCCAAAGCTCTTCCTCCCCACTACACTATAAGCTCCTTAAGACAGGAACTATCCCTATTTCTCTTTCTACTCTGGCACAGGGTCCGGCACTTAGTAGGTCTTCAATGAAATAAGGAACCAAGGAAATAAACTGTAAAGGGTCTGTCGGGTTTGTTAATTGGGATGTCACTAGTAACCTCAGCAAGAGTGAGGAAAAGGGTGAGGCAGGGTGGGGGTGATGGGTAGAGGAGAGAAAGTACCATTATCAAGAAACTGGGTTGTGAAGGGAGACAGAAGGTAGTGAAACAGAGAGCAGAGGAGTCATAAGACATAGCCAATAAATATAAACCAAACCAAACCTGTTGCCATTGAGTCAATTCTGACTCATAGCGACCCCTATAGGACAGAGTAGAACTGGCCCATAGGGTTTCCAAAGCTGTAAATCTTTACGGGAGCGGACTGCCACATCTTTCTCTGGATGAGCCACTGGTGGGTTCAAATCGCCAACCTTTCAGCTAGCAGCTGAGCACTTTAACCACTGTGCTACCAGGGCTCCTTCCAATAAATATAGATTTATCTACTTGAGGTTGTTGATATTTTGTTCCTTATATGCTCTCAGATGAGAAAAGATTAAACTTGTATAAATTAGATAACGAACAGAAAACACCTAGCATGGAGTGTGGCTTTTAGTAAGCAATTCTGCTTAATGTTCCCTTTCTTCTTTTGCTTTTAGGTATGGAGGTAAAGGAGCTAGCAGAGAAGGGGTGATGAAGAGAACGGTAACCCACAGGACCTTACAAACAAAAGTAAATGCAGGAAACAAGTACAAGGGATCTTTCCAGGGTGATGGAGATGTTCTAAAATTAGACTGTGGTGATGGCTATACAACTCTGTAAGTTCACTAACGATCACTGAATTGTTAAAAAAGAAATTAAATGCAGGACCAAAAACCGGGAAAGAGAACTCCAAATGCTCTTGAAAGCATTCTTATTAGGTTTACTGGCTGTGCCCCATAAAATTATAAAATAATTATAAAATAAGTGAAGCAAGATGGGGCAGAAGGCACCCTTAGTAGGACACCAATTGGACTCACATCTCCTTCTCTTTAATGCCTTCTGAGATCACTCGTAAGAGTAATTTCACAGCAGGTGACACATTTACAGGGATCCTCCATGGAACTCGGCCCACAGAAAATTTAGTGTCCTTCCCTACAACATTTTGTACCTCTCACATGCATTCAGGGAGCCCTGGTAGTGCTGTGGTTAAAGCCTTGGCTGCTAACCGAAAGGTCGGTAGTTTGAACCCACCAGACATTTCGAGGGAGAAAGATGTGGCAGTCTGCTTCCGTAAAGATTACAGCTTTGGAAACCCTATGGGCCAGTTCTCCTCTGTTCTATAGGGTCGCTATGAGTCAGAATGAACTCAACAGCAAGGGGTTTGGTTTTGGTTTTCATATGCACTCATCAAATCAATAACTGTGGCAGAGGGCGGTGGTACAAGATGATCACATACCTTCGCTTATAATCCTTTTAATTCTGCAAGGTTGGTCATGATGGCCCCTCTTTCATTCCAATTTTAGTAAGTTGACGTCTTCTCTCTTATTTTCTTCTTGGTCCACCTAGCTAAAGGTCTGTCAATTTTGATGGTCTTTTCAAAGAACCAACTTTTGATTTCATTGGTATCTGCTCTATTCTTTATTATGTCCTTCCTTCTGCTTGCTTTGGGTTTAGTTTGCTCTTCCCTTTCTAACATCTTAATGTGGAAACCTAGGGTATTGATTTGAGAAATTTCCTCTTTTCTAACATAGGCATTTTCATCTATAAGTTTCCCTCTAAGCACTGTGCTAGCTGCATCTCAGAAGGTTGGGTATGTTTGGTTTTGGTCATATACTATCCCCTGCCACGTTTTCCTACACTTTTTTCCCCAGTTCTTTGTAAAGACACTGTAGCAGCATTTCCTAGTTTTCTTTTTTTAATCCTATTTTGAAATTTATAGATATTGATAGTTAGATCCTTACTATTCTAGAATTGTTTCTTGTCTTTCTGCATTTCTAGATATCTTTGTTTTCTTTAGTTTTTATGTTCATTCACTCTCTCTTCCTCTTGGAATGATATTGATTAATTTGCAACAGCATGGAGAAATAGCAGGGAAGAATAAGCAGAAAGTAGGAGGCGGTCACTGAAACGTGGTAAAAGAGAGAGAAAGTTAGGTGCTTGTTAGAGAACGAGATATTGTAAAGAAAATAAGTATTAAAGCATAACAAAACGCGGCTATCAGTTTTGGTCTTCCCCCAAAAAACAACGAGAACATTAACAATGCCTCTCTACAACTTTTCTGGCATATTTTGTAAACACAGCACGAGAGTGACTCACCTAAGGAAAGAAGATCAAGAAATGATTTAGTCAGTTGGCTGTGCAGGGATCTAAAGAGCGAGTATGAGCAAAAGGCAAGTCGTTTGTTTTCCGTGGGATATTGACAATGCAAACAGATGATAAGAATTCTTGGATCTATTGTTCAAGAGAATAAAAGACGACTGAAAAATGAAACAAACAGCTATTTGCCTTGAATGATCTTGGAATTAACTCACTTGGTTAAGAAATCCATTAAACAACTCTCTAAGATGTCCAGCTCAAGGAAGCCATGATATGTTGGCCACAGACTCCTGATAGTTCCTAGACTGTCAAAGGCATTAGAAGGCTGACCAACACCTACAACCCTCATGAGAAAGGAAAGAAGGTGGCTGGGGACCGAGCTGGGGTGGAGGCTCGAGAAGATTGCTATGCATTCAGAATGAGAGTATGAGAGTGGTGCTCTGTAGATCAGGTCGGCCCATTAGTTCGGGTCGGGCAGGAATAATGGTAGCACTATAAGAGAGATAAGTAGAGCTCCCCTAGTGTAAGATGGTTGTCTGGGACAAAGGAATATGGCTTGTTGTTTGGAAGAATTCTAGGACCCTTATAGATAACACAATATTAAAAACCCATTGCCGTTTAGTTGATTCCGACTCATAGTGACCCTATAGGACAGAGTAGAACTACCCCATAGGGTTTCCAAGGAGTGGCTGGGGGATTTGAACTGTCAACCTTTTGGTTAGCAGCCATAGCTCTTAACCACTGTGCCACCAGGGCTCCAATGCAATATTACGGACCTCCAGTTGAGAGGGGGCACAATCTGGGGTTTTGGAGAAGTTAAGAAAGATGGCAGTGAATCTGGGGGGAAAAGGGGCAATTCCTTCTTAGTTGGAGATACGTAATAAGATGCTCAGGGTTTTGGAGCCATGTCATGTTCTGGAGGAGAAAGAGGAAAATGGTGGATGTGAAGACACTTAAATAGCCTTAAGAGCAGACAGGAAACTTTCTGAATCACAGCAGAGAAGTATGTCAGAGGGAAGCGAACTAGAAAGAAATTACATCCATTAGAGGGGCAGTCTTTTTGCAATTGGGCCAGAGGGCCAGGTTGTCTGTATGGGAGCATCACTAGGAGAAGGCAAGGAAACACGCTAGAGTTGGGAATTCTAGAGCCAGGATAAACACAGGAGTGAACACTCCTATTTCATTCATTAAGTTATACTTTTTTACTCCATTATCACTTTCATGGACTCACTTCCTCATATTCATGAAAGAAAACAGATTTCCTTTAGATCAGGGTTTCTCAACCTCAGCTCTATTGAAGAGTTAAGGCCATTCTGTGTATTGTAGAATGTGTAGCAGCATCCCTGACTTTGACCCACTAGATGCCAGGAGCAAGCCTCTCCCCCGCTCAAGATGTGACAACCAAAAATGCCTCCAGATGTTTCCAAGTGTCTAGTAGGAGGGGTGCGGGGGGAGGAGGCAGGGAGGGAGGCTGGCAAAATTGCCACTGGTTGAGATACACAATTTCAAATAATAATTATTTCAGGCTTATTAGGACTATTTGATTCCATTAAATTCAGTAAAAACAACAACAACAAAGAGAAACCCGCACAGAATTAATCACATTCTGCCTTCAATAGACTCCAAGAATTTCCGTTAGATTTTGAAATCATTCAGATTAGTTTATATCTGGGTAGGCTGACAGAAAGAAAAGATTCAAAAGCAATCTAATACGTGAATTTGAAAATCTCTTTTAAACTGTGTTCCTTTTAAAATAGTTAACATTTATTTGACAAAATTAAGAGATCATGAGTTTCCATTTTTCTAAAATACAGTGAAACCTGTGAGAGCTGGAATGCAGCGGGACTGCCTTGTTTTTCCGGGTCTCCCAAGTTTTCCGCCTTTGACAGGGTGCAGTCTTACCACTTTTCTATTGCTCATTTTAGTGGAAAATATTTGCATTTTCCTTCTCTGACAGGTTTCTGCCTTAGACAGGTTCTGGCTTTCTCAAGTTTTACTGTACAACTAGTCTTCGCTAGTTGTTAAAGCCCATATCCTTATGCACACATGGATGTGTTTTTTGCCCCATTACAAATGCATTGCAATCTTATCAGTTAAAACGATTAAATGGTATTACTATTTGATACAGAGGTTACTCATAAAGTCAGCCAGCAGAGGAAATTAGCACATGTTCAACATACACACACACAATTTCTGTCAAAGCTTTAATTTTATACTCTATTCACCAACCAGTGACAGAATCTATATATAGAAATGCATGTATCAGTTACTTTACTTTACTTACTCAATTAAATATAAATATTAATGATGTGAATTATTTGCTTTTTCGTTGACTAATTATGAAAATACTACCTATTCTAGTAGAAGGAAGCGTGCATAAGAACTCGAAGGGATGTTTTTTCATACATTCGGAAAGAAAGTCAAATGGGTTGCTAACAAATGAGGTCCATTAACACCATGGAAGTAGCTAATGTGTCCTTTAACTCCAGATTGGACCCCCAGATCTTGCTCTCACCTGATTTGTCTGTAGAATCTTCAAATTCCACAAGGAAAGAGTACCCGTTATTCCAGATGTGGAGGCAGGTGGTTGGATCATAAGAGATGGTGAGAGGTTTTAGGCAAGGATCGTAAACACTGTCCCTCCACCGGATATTGATCGGCGACTGCCGATCGCCCCTAGGAACCAGGTCCACGCTCTCCCAGAGCGGATGCACTAGGAGAAAGTAGACCGGGGGTTATTACCAAGACCATCCACTATCGAGTACCACAGATAAGCAAAACTTGCCAAGGAAACCCCAGGTGTTAGGAATTAGCTGCTTTGGGGCTTCACCCATTGACTAAAGCAGAGGATAAAGAAATCTCAAAATGTCAGCGGAGCAGCAGTCTGCTGTCTTGCAAAGCCAAACGTCTCTGTTTATCCTACTGATTTCACTACGTCAAGAGGCATCCGGTCCTGGGACACCAGTAAAAAATGCATGGAGATTAGTGCCACGTGGAAATAGGGTATTCACAAATGAGTTCTTTTTCTCTGTTGAGAATTATCTGGGCCCTACCCCCCAAAACTAGTTTGAGATACAAATACAAATTAATTTAGTATTTTAGGAACAGACTTGTTTTCAACAAAGGGAATGAGGGAAGAGGGGGAAGAAGTTCTGGAAAGCAAACGTTCAATGAGGTATCGTATGTGTTTTGTTGGCTGGCTAGTAGCTGTAAAAGGCTTATCCCATATAAATGCAATGTTGAGCTCCCCACTTACGTCAGCAAACTTGGAGGATGAGGCAGCCATCCTGAAAATCCGGGTAAAATACAAGCATTGCTAAGGTCCCTCAAGTCCTCAGCTCACCACACAAGTAGCTAGTTGTTGTTCTTAGGTGCCACCGAGTCAGCTCTGACTCATGGTGACTATGGATAACAGAATGAAATGTTGCCTGGTCCTGTGCCATCCTCACAATCGTTGCTATGTTTGAGCCCATTGTCGCAGCCACCGTGTCAATCCATATTACATACTAAGGAGCACACACACACACATAATCTGTCCCCACTGATACTGACTTCCTCCACCGTCAAGCATGGGGTCTTTGTCTGCAGTAAGTCCCTGATAAAAGTCAGCACACTTCCTGATGACAGAGGTCGGCCTGCTGACATATCTCTACATGATGACTAGAACCCACATATATGACGTTTGGGGTTGTTCAGTTCTCTGCCCCGTAGAAGCCACACAGATGGGTACAACCAAGACCAATGACCCTATGCCTCACGCTGCACCACTAAGAATGCATCTAAGGATTTGAGAAAGTAACCAGGTAACTGCTACCCAGTCAACTTCCCCCTGGAGGGCAGGATCGCCCTCCCATTTTCATGAAGAACACAAACCTGTCTCTGGTTTAATCTTCCACAGGAGACCTTCCTCTTCCCTCAGTAGTTGCCCAAAGCTGGAAGTTCAAAATCTTGGCCTTGTATTTTTGGGAAAAGGGCTGCCACGGTATTGATAAAGAGATCTCCCGGAGTATCTAGGCTGGTTTTTCTCAAGCAAAGTTGCTTTTGCCTCCCAGGGGACATCTGGCAACGCCTGGAGACAGTTCTGGTAGTCACAACTGAGGGAAGACACTACTGACATCTAGTGGATAGAGGCCAGGGATGCCGCTAAACATCCTACAATAAACAGGACAGCATACACCATGACGAATTATCTGGCCTAGAATGTCAATAGTGCCAAAGTTAAGAAACCCTAGTCTAGAGCTAAAAATTATACACAAACTCAGAGTATTCTTGTTTTTCTATTTCTTCATAGAACCCAGTACTCTCCTATCTCTGGAGTGATCTGAACACAATGTTTTAATTTTTTTCTTTAGTATAAAAAAACTTGTTCCTTAGAGAAAAACAAGAACTTTCTGTTTTAGAAACCTAAAATGGGAACTGCATTTGAACCAGTATAATACTTTCATATTATAATGTGATTAGAATGCAAATTCCCTGAGGGCAGGACCATATCTTCCTCCTTTTTTGTTGCCCTGTGGCACCCTATTCAATATATATGCTCTTTAATTGATTGATTATCCAATTGCTACTGTTGGGAAAAAAAGCTCTATTTGCCTCAAATTATGTTACATTTTTGAACTTCTAGAAAGCCCCAGCTTTAAAGTTCTATTGCACAGAGAGGCCTCCAGGCATCTCCTCCTCTGGGTTACTCAGGATGTATCTGATAATTTGAAAATTCACACCCTTCCAAACCAATTCATGAGGGTCTTCGGTGAATACTAGGGAAGAACGGAAACGGAATTCCTCCTTATCCAGGAAATGGACAGACTCACCTCTCACGCCCATGCAAACACAGCCAAAATAGGGGGCCTTTTCATTCAACTGCTCCTTCAGGGACCATAACGCTAACCTTAAGTTATGTCTTCAAGTTTACAAGTTCAGCTTCCACAAGGCTTTCTTTCCCCACATCTACTTCCTCCTTTTAGAACACAGACCAACCCACCAGCGGCCTTGGTCACTGTCCCCACGGTAAGGCCAGCTGTCTGACAGTGGCTTGTTTTGCTTTTGGTAAACTCTGACTTTTGTTCTCTTCTCCTTCTCCTCCACTTTAACAAAACAGAGATTAAAATGATTTTTTTTTGGGTGTCCCTGGGTGGTGCAAATAGTTACACGCTTGACTACCAACTGAAAGGTTGGCAGTTTGAACCCACCCAGAGGCGCCTTGGAAGACAGACCAGGTGATCGGCTTCCAAAAAGTCACAGCCTTGAAAACCCTATGAAGCAGTTCTACTCTGACACGTGGGGTCGCCAGGAGCTGGAATTGACTGGGACGGCAATTAACAACCACCACCTTTGTTCTCCCCTCCTCCCCTCCACCTCCCGCTTAACAAAACAGAGATTAAAATGATTTCTCGGTAGTTGATCATACTTTCCCTCAAAATAGGAAGATGATTCAGTGTTCTGAAAACAGAGACTTCATTTTAAGGTTTTTCTTGTATGTAGAAAATGAAATAAACAGAGATCCTAATTATATCAACCCATAGTTTGAGTGGGAGCCCCTGCATGGCAAACGGTTAAAGCTCAGCTGCTAACTGAAAGGTCGCAGGTTCGAGTCCACCCAGAGGTACCTCAGAAGAAAGTCCTGCTGATCTACTTCTGAAAAATCAGCCATTGAAAATCTTATGGAGCACAGTTCTGTTCTGACACACATGGGGTCTCCATGGGTCAGAGACAACTCCATGGCAACGGGTGGTGGCGGTGGTGATAATTTAAGTGAGAGAATCATACATCACTAAGAAGGTGTCCCTAATCCCTCGCTGATGAGCAACAAAAACGCCTTTAGATTCCAAGGGGAGGATGTTCTCAGTTCTATTTCTTATTTGTATAACTAGTCCTGGATTTGGTTATCTTGTGTTTGTACTACTATTCCTTCAGCCTTGGGGCGTGTCCCTCTGTCAGCTCTTCAAATGTGGAAAGGTCCTTCTGGCCTGAGCCACTTCGTTCCTGCTTCTCCTCTGCCCGAATCCGTTTTCCCCTCGCGCAGTTCAGGGGCTAGCTCCCTGGTATCTTTAGGTCTCTGGGCTGCTTCATTCTCACTTCCTCCGCAAGATTTTCTCTGACCACTTCGGGATAGATCTTGAAATGTTCTTTTTGACGATGAACGCAACTCCCTTCCTCTTCAATTTGTCATTCCTGGCCTAGTAGACCATATGATTGTCTGATTCAAAATGGCCAACACCGGTCCATTTCAGCTCACTAATGCCTAGGATATTGATGTTTATGTGTTCCATTTCATTTCTGACAATTTCCAATTTTCCTAGATTCATACTTCATACATTCCATGTTCAGATTATTAATGGATATTTGCAGCTGTTTCTTCTCATTTTGAGTCATGCCACATCAGCAAATGAAGGTCCTGAAAGCTTGACTCCATCCACGTCATTAAGGTTGACTCTACAGTCTTATTCTGAGTACCTTCCAATCTGAGGGGCTCATCTGCCGGCACTATATCACACAACGTTCAGCTGTTATTTGTATGATTTTCACTGGCCAATTTTTTTTTTAAAAGCAGACTGCCAGGTCTTTCTTCCTAGTCTGTCTTAGTCTGAAAGCTCTGCTGAAACTTGTCCACCATGGGTGACCCTGCTGGTCTTTGAAATACTGGTAGCATAGCTTCCAGCAACACAGCAACATGCAAGCAGCACAGTACGACAAACTGACAGACGCATGGCCTATAGCCTCATTTTATCCTGTGCCTTGCCCTGAACTGTCCCTTTTCTTGTAATGTCCTATTTCCTCATGTAATTGAAGATCATCTTTATGGTCTTAGCGCAGTGACAGGATATACACAGACCCTCTTTCGTGTGACTGTGGAGGACGATCACAGAATCACCTTGTCAGAGCCAACGGGCTGTAAAAGGCACTTGGATGCTGAGCTTAGTTCGTCAGAGGAGCCACATCCACTTATCAGCCAAAAAACTGAGCCTGTTGCTGTCCAGTCAATTCTGACTCATAGCAACCCTACAGGACAGAGCAGAACTGCCCTGTGGGGTTTCCAAGGCTGTAGTGAAATGGTGCTTTGCTGAATTTGCTGTGACCTCCAACTGTCCTTTACTCCTTGCTCTGCTTCACCTCATCTGAAAAACAGTCCAACTGACAAATCTTAGGGAGGCACCGAGCCTATGATGATGATAAAGATGCTGCTGATGATAACAGCAATCCGAGTACCGGAAGTAGCTGCCAATAGGGAGTGTTCACTGTGCGGCAGGCACTAGCTAAGAACGTTCCACGGTATCTTTTCTAATCCTCAACATCTTTGGGAAGCATTGTGGTCACAAGTGTACACTGGGCCTTCTCTTGCAGTAGTGAGCTTCCAGAAACAATGAGTACTGTCTCTACAATGAAACAGATGAGGGGCATGGACAGTATGAGGTCAGTGACCCACAGCAATGAAGACCAGAATATTCTCCTGGGTGAAAACATGTAGGGACAGTGCATATGCCAAAAGCAAATTCAAATGGTGACTGTCACCTATTTTTCCAAGTGCCTTACAAAACAAGAACATTTCATGTGATTTGGAAAATTAATCAAGTGAAAGGCCCACTTCCCCGAGCCATTACTTTTTGTTTTTTGTCAATACTGAAAAGAGCAAACGATCTTAAAGACACAAGCATGTTGGATTTTAGATCTCTAACTTTTAACTTTCTGTAAAAGCAAAACAAAACAAAAACATTAGTGACTACATAATATGACTAATTTTTTCCATGTTCAGCCTTAGACCACAATGTGCCAGTACTACAATAAGCCAGAAGGGGTCAGGATGTGGGCATGCCCATAGGAAGCCACACCTAGCAACGAGAAATTTGTTATGACCTGGGCCAGTTTTTAATGAGGACACAGTTAATGTTGGAGGAAATAAAATAAACTTAGAATGAAAATATATAGAGAGAGCAGTTTCAAGCCCTCGAATTGAGCTAGATTAGCAATATTAATGAATTCCATTTCTTATGTGCTTATAGAGTTAAGAGAATAAACACAAAGAGAAAAAGTTGAGAAACCTAGACTCTGGAAGCCAGCCAGCATGTGAAAACTCTCTGCCATTTTTTTTAACAGGGGAAAAGATGGAAAATTCCTCTTTGAAAGATACACTTAGCCATTTAATTAAACTCATCTCTCCACCAACACACACATTGTCTATCCTCTGCCCCCATCATCTCGGTGGTTCTTAACCAGAGTGACTGTGTCCCTCCAGAGCTAATTTGGCAACGTCTGGCTCAGCTGCTAGCCAAAAGGTCGGCAGTTCGAATCCCCCAGCTGCTCTTTAGAAATCCTAGGGGCAGTTCTACCCTGTCCTATAGGGTTGCTATGAGTCAGAATCTGGATGGCAACAGGTCTGGTTTGGTTTTGGGAGATGTTTTTGGTTGTTATAACTTGGGGTGGGGTGGAGTGCTACTTGCGTCTAGTGAGCAGAGGCCAGGGATCCTGCTCAACACCCTACAGTGCACAGGACAGCCTTGGCGAAAAAGAATGATCCAGCCCTACTGCCGACAGTTCAGCGGTGGAAAAAGCCTGCATCCCTGGATGAGGGCTGTAATGTGTATTTCCAGAAGATGCCGGGTAAGACCGTTTGCTGGCTCGCTTGCTCGTCCGTGTTTACAGCAGAACACACACTTGCAAGCTGGTAGCTACAAATAACTCTGCAATTTGTAACTACAGGACCAAATATTCCCAAGCTGGAAGCTACTAAACTGTTTGCAGATATGAATGGGCAATATCCAGAAACTTGGGCTTCACGTGAAAAATTCACAGTTTGTGGTTCAACCTTAAGAAAACTGCCACCTCTTAGACACAATAAAGAACAGGCTCCGGAGCATTTCAAAATTGAGGTCTCCCTTGTCGCGTTCCTGCACGTCATCATTGTAAAATTGGTCAAGAACAGAACTTTCCACATTGATTTTAAGAGACAAATAGAGGAACGATTGGTTCGTCACACAGTTCTTAAGCCCTACAATCACACGGAGGCTTCCCAATGACATTCACCCGACAAATCCATCACACACGTGACCTTCATTCAACAACAAGCCTTTTTCTCTCTAGAAGGAGGCGGTGTACTCACAGGCTGGGTTCCGGGTTTTGTAAGTGCAGGTGTAAAGGCTGCAGGGCCGCCTTGACATGGGCCTGGGGATCTGGATCCTTCTCCACGGCATTGTGTGTGCAAACGCTTGAGAAAGGAGCCGCAGGCTGTTCATTGCCATCATCTTCAGCTTGAAATCTTGATCAGTATCCAAATAACTTGCAAGAACCTAACACCCTAGTGACAGAAGGGCAGAGAAGGAAAAGCTGGTCACCTCGGAGGAAGGCAGGGCCTGGGACGACTGACTCATGCTTTTTGCTTTTCCCTCAGGGCTGGAAAATAGTAGAGGTCCAGGGAAAGGCTTCTCTTTATGCACAAGAATGAAAAGACTGTTTAGAGCACAGTTTCTTAACGTTTTTTTTAAAAATGGACTTCCGGAAACGCCACTTAATTGTCTGGCCTGTAGGAAGAAAACAAAGATTAAGCTCCCTCCAGGCAGTCTGAGTAAAAAACGATAGGCCTGCTTCTAGACTGCATTGAAAAAACCAGATACATCCTGCCAAAATAGTCATGGGCGGGTCTGGAATCTGAGTTTAAATATAATCTGTGACTCTTAGCCAGCTTTAGGTGTCACGCCATGTCCCTTGAACGTGGGAAAGTGGAGAAGGTAATCCTGACTTAATCCACAGGTAGGTTCACTCTGAGTACACGCTCTGACTTCGTCTAGACGCCTGCACCTCCCACAGTTCACAGAGGGTATCAGCACTCACTGCTTCCCCGGCACCCATTGCTGCGTTGTGAAATCACGGTCATGTCAACTGGGCCCCATTGCCCACCCCTGCCCAATATTGCTCCATCCATTTTTCCTGAAAACTCCTGTCCCTGTACCATTTCAACAAACAAGTTATGAAATTTTTTAAAAAATGGTTTTTTCTTGATTACACATCACTGCCATTCTAGATGTCAGAGGATTTAGGGTGATTGCTTGGGATGAATTCAGACAGCTGGCTGGGGACACCGTTTGAGCAACCAGGAGCATGCATGGCTGCAGGGCCATGTGACCCACACTGTGACCTGGCTCTGCCGAGCTCCCAGCCTCCTGTCCACGTCCCTGCTCTCTCCTCTCACCAGCCACGTGGACTTCACTTCTTCCAGGTCCTGACGCTCTGCCAGGCTCAGGGCTTGTGCAGAAGTTCTTCTGTCCCTGGGACCCCTCTCCTTTCCCCTGTGTCTGGTTAATCCTACCCACCCTGCAGGTGACTGAAGATGCTGTTGTTCACTTTGCTCCAGCCACTGTGTTAGGTGCTGTGATGCAAAGCTGGGCAAGCCCGTGGAAAGGAATGGAGTTCTGATACCTGCTACAGTGTGGGTGAGCCTCAAAAACTTGATGTGGAGTGAAAGAAGCTAAATACAAAAAACCACATACTGCGTGACTGCGTGTCTAGGAAACGTCCAGGAGGCAAAGCCATAGAGAGAAAGTCGACTAGTGTTTGCTTAGGGCTGGGGGTATGCGAACAGGGGAACTGGGACTGACTGCTAACAGGTTTGGGGTTTCCTTTTGGGCTGATGGAAATGTTCTGGAACTAGACAGAGGTGGTGGCTGCACAACTCTGTGAATGTGCTAAGTGCCACTGAATCATACACCTTAAAATGGTGAATTTTCTGTTGTGCGAATTTTAAAAAATATGATCAAGGCATGATCTCTACCTTCCAGGGGCTTAATTTCTCCTCGAGGAGCCTGTTGAAACTCACAGATCTTGAGGGAAGGGAGCACACCTTTCTCCTGCCACACGGAGGTTTCTGGGAAGTTTGGAGCCCTGGTGGCGCAGTGGTTAAGAGTTCAGCTGCTAACCAAAAAGTTGGCAGTTCAAATCCACCAGCTGCTCCTTGGAAACCCTATGGGGCAGTTTTCCCTGTCCTATAGGGTCGCTATGAGTTAGAATCGATGGCAACAGGTTTGAGGTTTTTTTTGGGGGGGGGAGGGGGGAGGAGGAAGGTACAAAAGGAAACACTGAGGGGGCGCTCAAGACACTTTTCACTTATCTATCTGGCATTTCTTAGTTCGTATCTTTATAAGAAGGCAGTAGAATACATAAAACCCCATGACGATCCTTCGGGAGGCTGCACAAGGAGGCAAGCATTCTGTTTCCACCCTCTCTCTTCAGGTACTTCCCGGCTATGAGTGAGCTGGGTGCTAGCTCCTCTCCCCTGGGCTGCTGCCCTGGAGCCGGCTCCATCGGAGCTAGAGGGAGAAGTTGCACCCATGTAGAGAGAGACACAGTCATGCCCAACTAGGGCGCGTCCAATGAAAGCAGAAGCACAGTTAGTTCGTGTTAGTATGCTCCAAGGCATCACTCATAAACTGCCTGTCAACAAGCCATCTGCATGGACAGTTGCTGTAGAAGGGAGCACAGCAGGCCAGGAGCCAGCCTTCCGGCCCCGCCCTGGGCGCTCTTGCAGGCACTGCTTTGCCCATACAGGGCCTGACTCAGGGAGGCAGGATGCGGGTCCCCATTCCAGGGGCCTGGCAGGAAGTTCGAATCTTGGGGCTCCGTACCTCCTTGCCTGGCTGCCTGCCTGGGGTCTTTAGGCCAGGGACACAGAAAGTATGTCTGCCTTCCCAGGAGGTTTTAAATTCTCAAAGCAATGTTAAAGTCACACCTGTTTAATTTTATATGTGTGTTTATGTATATACATTTTTGGTGGGAGCGTGTATGGTGCAATGTCTGAGCAGACGAGGAATGGCGGCGTTCAAAACACGTGCAAGTTTGACTCAGGAGTGCTGAGACAGACTGCTAGTAAACTTTCAAGGTATTATCTTGACAGTGCCTGGAGCCAGGTAACGAACGGCACCTTGTTTTCAAAGAGCTTCATTAAACAACTGAACAGGCTCAGAGTAATAGCCACCTCAATTTAGAATCTGATTCTGGTTTTTTTCTCCTTAACTTCTTATTATGGAAAACTCCAAACTTATACAAGTATCACGAGAACAATATAATAACCACCTACGTATCCAATGGAGCCCTGGTGGCGCAGTGGTTAAGAGCTTGGCTGCTAACAAAAAGGTTGGCAGTTCAAATCCACCAGTTGCTCCTTGGAAACCCTACGGGGCAGTTCTACTCTGCCCTCTAGGGTCGCTATGAGTCGGAATCAACTTGATGGCAACGGGGCAATGTGTCCAATACCCCATTTTAAGAATTATGAATTCATGGCCAAGTATGATTATTTATATCCTCCCATTCCCCCTGCCCTGGATTATTTTGAAGCAAAGTCCAGACACCCTACCGATTTTATCCATGATTCTGTTTTTATAGGAAAATATCTTCTTAATTCATCGTTTCTTCCCCATAAAAATTATCTGTATGAAATAGCCTCTGGTGACAGTTTATTGACAGAATCTGACAACTGTCAATTTTTCAAAATTAAAGAAAAACAGCAAAAAAGCCCAGTAACTCAACAGCCCTCTCAGAACCTGCAGTGTTTGTTAGGTGCCATCGAGTGGATTCTGACTCATAGTCACTCATAGTGACCCCGAGTGACAGAGCAGAATTGCCCCATAGGGTTTCCTAGGGCTCTAATCTTTACAGATCCTGTGGAGCAGCTGGTGGGTTTGAACTACCGACCTTTTGGTTAGCAGCTGAGCACTTAACCACTGAGCCACCACTTAGAACCTAGCTTAATCCGGTAGTCAGAATCTTCACTTTTCTCCTGATATCTCCACCTAAGCTGGGATGCGCGCTCAGGTGAGGAACTTTGCGCTTGTTTCTAACCTGTGAAACTATGTTTAGCATGAAACTGCATAACTGCTCACTGTAGTCAGGCAGAGTGAAAGGATCGTATGAGTAGAAACGTTTTAGATCAAGACTTAATGTACACCCCTAAACTTATGCAGGAAGTCCAGACCAGAGGAGCAGGAAAAACAGTTGTTCAGTAAGACTGAACGCTACGTTGACCTCTTCTGTGACTTCAGATGGGGTGAGGTCTGAGAAAGCACCCGAGAGTTATATAAATGCAGGTTATGGTTACTCAGAATGAGCTTCCTAAAATGCAAACTGCAAAAACTTTTGATTTAAATGCAAAAACTAAGAAAATAGACGTTTGGAGGATTCTTTCTTTCTCCCCCCTCTTCTTTCAATGTCTTCATTTTTTTGTTGTTGTTCAACAGTCATCTTTTTATTTATTTTTTGAAATTGTGGTAAAAATATGTATATCAAAACATTTCCATTTTTTCTGTGTACAATTCAGTGACACTAATTATGTCCGTCACACGCAACCATCACCACTGTCCGTTTCTAAAAGTTTTCATTGCCCTTAACAGAAACTCAATGTCCCTTAAGCAGTAACTTCCCTTTTCTCTCTCCTTCCTGGCCCTGTTAACCACTAACAATCTTTGCTCTATATTGGATGGTTCTGAATATTTTTCTTTTCTTTTTAAGTCAATACCATTAAGCAATGCAACTAAACAGGATTTCCTCTGATGAAGTTCTTTTGATACTAAAATGAAGTTTCTAAAACTGCTAAGAGATATGGAGAACACTTCCCTTCATTCTGTGCTTCCTTTCCATGGACTTCCAGTTCTGAAGTGAAGCAACGAGTGATTGATTATCTTGGGCAAAGCCCTGAGCTAGGTGTAAAGAGGTGAAGGACGTTCTGTCGTTCTGTCTCCCTATTCCCATGAGCGTGCAATCTACCTGCAGAAACTATTTAAACACATACTTCTTAGTCAAGGCTGGAAGTACTAACAGCCCTCACTTAGAACACTGAGGACACAGAGGGCAGAGACTAAGGTTTCAGGAGGAGGTGGCATTGGAACCATGTGTCATGAGACAGACAATTTCAACAAGAGGAGCAGAGTGGAAGGACAGTGGAAACCTCAGGGATGATGAAGACATGGGAGCCAGGGACCAGGCGGCAAGGCCGGAAAGAACAATTGGGGTTGGGATGGGGGGAACTTTGGGTGTATTCAGTAAACAATCCCAAGGCCCATGTGCTAGACGTCAGGGGAAGACGGGCAAAGAAGTGGAAAAAGACCTCTTTCTTGCTTACAACCTAGTAGGGAAGATTCAAGGATAATACTCAACATAAATCAAATCCCCACTTGTTACCTCTCTGTTCGGTTCTGACACCAGCTGCCCAGGCAGCCCTTCTCTGACCCTGGCTGCCTGGAGGTAAGTCAGACCTCACAAGTTAAAAGGGCACCGTCCTTCAGACTGCCAAATAGGTAGACGCCAACCACAAGTTGGTCCACATGGCACCCTCTCTTCTGACCTGCAGGCTACAAATTCAGGGTCTCCCTCTAGCCGTTCAGGAAGTCTGCTACAAGCTTGGTAGTCCCCTTGGGCTCCCTAACTTCTGACTCGTTGACTACAAATTTGGAGTTTCCTTCTACCCTTTTGGGATGCCAGCCACAAGCTGGGATCCCTCTCTGGGCTCTCTCACTTCTGCCCTGTTGGTTACAATTTCAGGGGTTCCCTCTATCCCCTCAGGATACCAGTCATAAGCTCAGGAGTTCCCAGCCCCCTCACTTCTGACCTGCTAGCTTTAACAATTCCTTTGGGTTCAGTAATTCACTGAAACAACTCATGGG